GTGATATATTGTTTGTATTGGACACAATGAAAACACATCGAGGCTATACAGTACCTTTTATATGTCTTTCCATAGTGGAAGAGGAGGTGGAGTCTTTCCTTGGTGGATTTTAGGATCTTTTTAAAAATGTTTTGGAACCTCACATTCAACTGAAGAAAGAGATAGGGGGCAACAGAAATATTTTATGTTGTTCTGTACAAGAGGTGGGAGGACTCTCAGGTATGGTTTTGAGTCACTGGGAGGGTGTTCCCAGCCAGTAGTAGGTGTTGTGAATATACTATGAAGTCACACTGTACAGTAGCTGCCAGCCAATTCGGATCCATAGCATATTGACTATATTCTCAAATATATAACTATATATAATATATAAACTGGATGGTTCATTCCTCTTTATCCTGTGCATGCTAGTAAAAGCATATAAAATTCAATCAGTCAATTCAGTTTTCATCATCAGACCTAGAACTACAGTATAATGACATGTAATATTTTTTTGGATAACTGAAAAACCTTTTTTGTCAGGATCCTGTCAGGGCAGGGAGGTTAACTACTGTAGATGTTTTTTTGCTGAATACCATGGCAAGTGTATGAGATGCAAAACTGACAAAGGCAACTGGAGTTCATGCACGGGTCACTGCAATTCCAGGATGTGTTACTTCAGCATTTTGCCTGTCAGAACCAGAAGCACAATTCCTGTTCTTAAATTTGCTGATTCGCAGCCTGCAGCACACTCAATCCACTATATACTCTAGTTGCATCAAACCTGAATATCTTCTATAGAAAATCAGCACTGGGTGTGCCCCGATGACTTCTGTGGAAACTGGCAGTGTTACTATGGAGTAGATTTCTAATTGAGCACATCCATTACATCCAAACTATTGAGAATTATTTCAATTTATAATTCTCTATTTATAGAACTTTACTTAACTCAAATACATAATGTGCTGCATCGTCTGTAGTAGTGCCACTACAAGGTACAATTGAAATTATCAATGTAAAGAGAATAGATTGCTATGTCAAGAACACCATGTGCAGGTCTCATGATATTTTGATGATATTTTGAGGGGGTAACCTAGGTCTGAAAAATGACTTCTCATAGCTACTTTTAAAAACTTGCAGAAATCTAGAAAATAATATGCAATGAAGGAATTTTCTAGTCTACTTTGTACAAAACACTTCCTTTAGTGATAGGACTAGTTGTTACGTAGGAGGCCTTTACAATATAAAAATTCAGCCCATTGAATGTTGTTATTTATGACCTGTTTCAGAAAGGGCAGAGCAGAAATGCATAAAATGGTCAAGAGAGAATTCATTTTTTATTTTATTATTCAAGCATGTGTTTGAGGAAGAGATTAGAAATCATATACCTAAGTCTCAAGGACAAATAAAGCAAACAACATGGACGCTGTGACTTCAGATTTTAAAGATTTTGCATAAAGTACCATCATTCTTTACATGTCTGTTTTTATGCATACTTTTTAAATTAGCTGTGAAGCAGTTCAATTGTTAAAAATTACCTGGCTCAATTGATAATTACACAATAATGTCTCATAAATATTTATGCTGGATTTGTGGATGTTCTTAATATTGTATTTATACCATTATTTATACCATTACAGTTAGGATATAAAAAAGTGCTCAATGCTTCCAACTTTAAGCGCCCAAACATGGGATATGGAATGTTGGTAGCCAAATAATACTGGTTTGATCTGGTAAGAGTGATTTGAAATTGGTTTTGGATTAATGATAATAATTATTCCTTACACTTATGTAGTGCTTTTCTGGATACTTCGCTCAATGAGCTTTACAGGTAATGGGGCTCCCCTCTACCACCATCAATGTGTAGCCCCCACCTGGATAATGTGACGGCAGGCATAGTGCACCAGTACACTCACCTCACGTCAGCTTTCAGTGGGGAGGAGAGCAGAGTGATGAAGGCAATTCATAGATGGGGATTATTAGGAGGCCATGACTGTTAAAACCCCTGGGATTTTTAATGACCATGGAGACTTAGGACCTCGGTTTTATATCTCACCCAAGGCGTAGCCTTTTGGACAGTGTTGTGTTCTCATACTTGGGGTATTAGGGTACTATAGGGGGTAGCAGGTCTCCCAGGTAATGGCCAGGCTCCCACCTGCTTAGCTTCAATGGGTTGCTAGTTGTGAGTTGCAGGGTGATATAGCTGCTGGGTAAATTAAAAATAAATTAAAAATATTAAAAAACAGTCTAGGCTTTGCAAAGTGATATAAAGTTATAGAAGAAGTATAAAAGGAAATGTAAATTTCTCTTCTATAGGAATTTTGAAGAGTGGGTAACGTTTTTAGAAAGCTAAGAACTGGGTAACTGCAATAATGCAATGCAATAATAATGGGAGCAAATTACTCTGACAGTTTCCACCTGAAGTATACAGCTCAGAAACTAAAAAAAAAAACGCACTCCATCTCTAGTGTTACTCAACTGTGCGAGTGTGCACTTTCGAGCAGAAACAAGTTTTCAGTTGTTAAAAACGTTACGGAAATAACATTTGTGTTCGAAGCAGTACCAATACCACAGCAGATGTTAACCCATGAAAACAAATTACTAAAGTCATAAAAGGTTTTCTTTAAAAATCTTGTGCTGCCGTGGATCTCCATCGAGGGCAGTAAGATTCCGATAAACCCCTATGCGAGCTCGAAATCCCTCCAGGTATTAAGTTATGTCTGTGATGAAGAATTGTGTTGCCGACATTATAACTGTAAGTTACAATTACATATTCTAATGTCTCAAATACTGCTTTCTCGCATTGATTGGTACTGTAGTACTAAGCAGTTTATACAGACTTTACACGTTCTTTGTGGGGATCTGATATTACTCAACTCCCTTCGGTTAAATTCCATGGGTTGCGCTGATTGGAAAATGCACACCTCAACAATAGAAGTGCAACAAAGTGCACTTCCTTTGCAGGAAGATAACAATTATCTTACCGTGTGGCTATCTGAAACTTGAATTACTCTATTATTTTGACAGTCGCCATTGGCTCATAAAAGCTCTCTTTGTGGTAAAGTTACTTGAACGGCGGACAATGATTGGTGCTGTTGGCTGTCATCTGTGGAAACGTCATGCTGCCTTATAAACTGCGCGGAGTTAATTTGAGTAACCAGATTGGAGGCTTTCGGCTGTGACGGAGAGTGCAGCCCTTTTCGTGTGAAAGAGTTCAGACTGTCGTGAAGTTTTTAGGAGACTTGTGTGCACTTTAAAAAGGGAATTGCAGCTGGCGGTGACAGGGACAAGTCACATCGAGACGTCTGACGATTTTAAAAGCGAAATCTATCCATTTGCATTTCCTTAACTGCAAGTTTGGAAGTTACACCGCACTTTTTGAGTAACTGTGCAAACGTGTTGTTCCGTGCACGTTTCTGGCGTTGGTGGCGACCTATTTAATTAAGACTTTTTTGGAGTACCTGACAACATTACACTCAACAGTTTTTTTTATCAGAATAACAAGGATGTCCAGCCATAGCGAATCTCTTCGACCCAGGTTGTGTTCGCTGGAGAAAGGGGGGAATGGTTATGGTTTTCACCTCCACGGGGAAAAGGGGAAGACCGGTCAGTTCATTCGGCTGGTGGAGCCGGACTCCCCAGCTGAAGCGTCGGGGCTCCGCGCCGGCGACAGGCTGGCGTTTGTCAACGGGGAAAGCGTAGAGAGCGAGAGTCACCAACAAGTGGTGTCCAGGATAAGAGCAACAACCGGGGATCTGAAACTGATCGTGGTGGACCGGGAAACCGACGACCTGCTGAAAAAATACAACCTGAAGTGCCAGCCGGAGTATGTCACGTCGGGCATCCCTATACCGAGCGAGTCAGAGGAGGAGGTCGGGGAGAACGGCAGCCGACGGGGCTCTTCTCCGACCCCGGAGAAAAATGGAGATATCACTGGCGAGAAAAAGCCGAGTGTCAGCTCCGAGAAGGTAAGATGGATTCAATTTAAACGTGTTCCCAACGGTTGTTTCGAGATCTGATTTAAAATCCCCCTTTCCTCAAATGCAAGCATAGAAATCCTGTTTACCGCACTTTTCTCTCGTTGTATCTCTTTTTTGTTCACCTAGTCTCGCGTTTATTTTTTGTGTTGCTGTTAAGAGTCCAACTCTTACAATTAGATTTTGAGAAACTGCCAGCTACCTGCACTTCGGGGGGAAAAGTTTTTAAGATTACTAGTATGATTGAATGGAGTATGCTAGGTAATGCTCTTTAGGTAAGTACTTCTATGATTTACAATGTGGTAGCTCGCATCATACACTAATAAACAAGCCCCCTTTATTTTTGTATGGAACGAAACCAGTTTGTGTAGTTCCAAAACAAAACAAAAAAACAAATGAGTGTTTTATCAGTCTGGTTTCTGAAAAGTTAGTGAAAACAGGCTGTTTCTCTAGCTGAATTCCAGTATTTGGCATTCGGTTCAGGCAGCTTAACACGTAGGAACAGCACAGGCTTTGTCCGCCTGTATTGTCGCACAGGTGCGGGAGGTTCAGAGCTCCAGGTAGCAGAGCGCCGCGGGCTCGGGTGGAAGGAGTGTTCCGTCAAACGCGTGGGAATTTTTTTCCCCGGTTTCCCAATCTTTGAACGCAGAGCTAAAGCTTAAAGGAACATTTGTTACCACCCAAACGTGCGACAGTTTATTCACATCTCGCGATTTATCAGCTGAAGTAATGCTTTCGGACCGCAGAAATGTTTCTTCCGTTTCCTGGCTGACCTAGGTAAAGTAAACGAAAATACTATAATGTAAATCTAAGTTACTTTTAAGGAGACAGCTTGGACCCACACTGGAAAGGTTAATAGGTCTGTTTAGAGCAGAGGCTGGGAAACACGTGGTTGTTAAAGTTCAGAGCAGATACTCAGAAATTTGACCCATCTCATGGACATTATGCTTTCCTTGTCAGGAGCTTTTGCCTGCTTTTCTGAAATATTGATGTTTCTTGTTCATGCATACTGTGAGTGATCTGTCTCGTGGTGATTGGCACTCCTCCAACGTAACATTTATGGGGGTAGTGTTTGTCAAATCAATGCTATGTTATCCCATGGAAAGAAACATTCACCTATCTATCTGTATCCAATTCAGCATCATGGGGGAGTTAATCCTGTCCCAGAAAGCAAAGGGTACAGGGTTTGATGCATCTTGCATGGGACAACAGACACACTCACACCAGGGCCAGTTTTCCCAGAAGTCAATTAACCTACTAGTATGTCTTTTTGACTGTGGGAGGAAACCAGAGCACTGAGAGGAAACCCACATGAACATGGGGAGAACTCAGGGCTCCACATTCGCAAGGCAGCAGTACTAACCAATGTGCTGCTAAAAAAAACATTGAAGTTGTGTATACTTTTTGTAATCATTTTATCAGTGACGTGTGCTGACTAGCTACTCTGAAAGATCGTCTGTATCTCCCATTAGATATGTGACGTAAGAACTTTGAAGATACAGGTTAAAGGCTGTTCCAATCTTTTAGTGCTTTGTGGGTAGCCATTATTATATTATGGATAATCAGTCTGATTATCAGTCTGAAACTAGTTGTGATGTAAAAATCTGCAGCCTCCTTTAAATTGAATTTACAGTAGATTTCTTCACGATAGGACAGTTAAACAATGCTTCTTGAGCTCGTAGTTCTTATTTAAGACTTTCCAAAAAAAAAATCAGAAGATATTGTGTGGAAATTAAATACTGGATATTAAGAACTGCTGAAAATGTGCTTTTCTGCATCTTGCAACAGAGCTTGTAAAATTTTCAGTCCAAACTGTAAGAGGTGACTTGGTTTTATTCAGCATCTTGGTGTAACAAGTTCTGGGTTTGTTTCACTGAGAGTCTGTGAAATAACTTTAAAAAAGTGTTTAAAACAGTTTTTTTCCCACCTTTTGTAAGGTTGAGTCCTGTGAAACTCAAATGTTCTTAAATTTTATTTTTGATTTTACAGTGTCCTTAAAGCAATTAAATGTACAGTAGTTGTCTTAGCTATGGCACTGCCCAAACCATGCTGGTGTCACCAACATTTTTGGCCCCTTTTCTTTAATTTGGAGCTGTACAGGATTCCCCTGAAGAGAAACAGCCACCTTCTCGTCTTCACGTGACGCAAACGAGTGCTTCACTTTTCAGCTTTCTGGGATAGGAGAATTCAAATGACCTCGACAAACCCTGGCTGCTGTTTTGATACAGTATGTGCCACCCTGAGCCAGTCCCTGAACCTCCTTGTGCTCTGTCCTTCAGATGAGACCTGAAAACTGAGGTGCTAAAAGTGGCTCTGGAGCAGCAGGTGTTAAAATATTACTCAGCCCTTCAGCCTCCGTAAGTCACGCTGGGCAAATGGTGTCTGTTAAATGAGTAATTATTAAGTGCTTGGGTATGCAATTACTGCCAAAGCACATTTCTAGAACATTCGTTAGTAACTGAAGAAATTAGAGAACTTTTCAGAGACTCGAGCGGAGGAGTGTTTTGTCCGGCAGAATCCCTGAAAGCTCCCTTGTCCTTGTGCTTATGGTAAAGAAGATCCAAGCCCACAAATTATACAGGTTAAATATTTTACACTTGTGGTGGTGTAACACTGCCATGCTTTCTGTTTTCCTTTATTTCCAATAAGGTTTTAGAAATCTTTTCAGCACATTGTTTTCAAATCTAATGCTCAGCACAGCAGTTTTAATTTATCTGATACCTGCTTCGCAGGGAAACTTGGTAGAAGAATATAATAGAATTTATTTTTGCATGGAAACTAAAAGATTCCTTTAATGACACAATATTTCTGTATCTGATCTATGAACTTTTGCTAGTGATGTTGTTGAATTCGATTTTTTAAATAAAAATAAACATTATAAACTATACAATTGGATAGAATCTGAATTAGACTTTGGTGCAGTATTACAGTGATTTTTGCCTTCATATCTAGTCTGCCTAACCTCCACTTTTCCTTCAGCATGAGCAGAAAATGCTCCATACCAGTGAGTTTTCCAGTAGATGGCTTTATACTGTAGGCTGAGTTTTGAGGTGAAGTGTAACATTGGATGAAATCCTTCTCCCCCTCTGCTTGCAACCTGTGGCTCACATTCTGTGTGAATATGTGTTGAGTCCCGCAATTGGCAGAAATGTGGAACAGTGGTTAGAACTCTGGACTTGTAGCTAGGGGTTTGTGGGTTTAAATCTAATGCAGGAACACTGCTATTATAACTTTGAGGGAGGTGTTTCAGTTGGATCTTGGTCCAGTAACACATTCTCCTGTATAAATGTGTAGAGATACACTACCTTGGATACAGCTGATAGATAAATTCACTAGAATAAATGGGGTTTACAACAAATGTTCAGAAGGAATAATAATAACCAAGTTCGGTTGGCCGCGGCTGTCCTAATTCGGAATCATTCCTGACGTCATTTCCTCATGTTAAAAAAAAGTCAGCCCCTTCTGTCCCCCGCATTTGTCTTTTGAATCCTTCCTCCACCCCATCTCCAGCTGTACAGCTGCCCTTTGGTCACTTCTGACTCTGCAGGAGGCTCCCAGCCTCCTTGTCCTCTGGCCAGGTGATTGGCCTTCAGCCCAGCAGTTTAAGCCAAAAATGTACTGTCTAAAACACTCAATAAACATTTTAAGTATACTTATTTGTTGGGGTTTGTTATTCCAAGTGAATAAAACAATTGTCAAATATTAAGTAGTTTGCCGATATGCAAGTACCCAAGCCTAATAGAGGTACTAGTAGGATTTAAACAATGCTGAACAGGAATTCTACCATCAGAATCACAAGCCCTCGTATTGTTTGGGAATGAAGAGTTCAAGTTGTCTCTGACTGCATCTGTTGAGGCTGGATATGCCTGGAATTTTGTTACATTGCCTTTTACATTTGGTTTTGTAGATTTATTACAATCTTTATTAAATGGTGGAAAAACATTTTCATAATTAGAATAGCTTTTTAAATTTTTGGTCACCGATACTATACTGTCAGTCTTTTTCATTTAAATTGAAAGGAGGACATATTTTCTGTGAGTATCTTATACAGTGAATCTCTTAACATCGATACTGGTTACAATATCAACCCAGACTTGAGAATCAGATTATAACTTGAGGGAAAATGTCTTGTTGAAAAGTCACTTAAACTACTACAGCAGTCATTTAAGTGCTGGTTCTTTGTTAGTGATAAGGTTTGGAAGAATTGTGTTGCCTTCAAAACTCATTACAGGAGGAAAATCATTACAAACACGTATTTAGCTGGCATACCTGTAAATATGGAAGTGTTTTTGAAACAATGGCAGTTAATGCAAAAATGTTTGAGCCCAACCAAATGAAATGGCCAGAAAAGGCCAATACAAAAACATATATAGTTTCAGGGCTTCGCTTACTGGTTGTGGAGCTCTGAAAGAGCTGACTGAAGAGAACAGTCCTCAGTTTTTACTCCCATTTCCACTACCTCCACAAAACGCCCTTCTCATTACACAACAGGCTCTGAAAATGGATTAGAGAGAGAGAGGCACTGCTACATCTGTGCAACTTGAGTATATCAGGATGTTTACAGTCTGATCTTCCTCCCCTCTCGGGCTGACTTGTAGGGGTGAAATTACTTTGCGCTGTCAGGGCGCCAACGCGTTGTTTATAGGCTCTTCTGCTTTTGGGGTTTGTTCTTCTGAAGGTTACATGGTGGATGAAATGTCACTGCTCTTTTTGACATAATGGAATGTGGTTCCTGGAATTCTGTCCAAATTCAGTTAAAGGTTAAAAAACCTGTCCACCACACATTTAAAAACACCAGGGAGTACTGAATGCTGGCTTTAATTTTCTGGAAACTTTGTGCTTTTGCCTAGATGACAGCCTATAACATCCTTGAACTGTGATGCTCTTTTCCTTTAGAAAAGTAAATTGCTAGGTAAAAGAATATTTCCAGCCCTAATGTCTGGCTTTTGTAGAATAAAAATGGTGAATTAATAACGCATATCCTATTGTAA